CAGAAAAATGGTTTATTTGAATGTTTTTAAACATAAGAGAATAAGATTAAGAGCAATTATTAAAAATTTTAGTCAAGCCAAATATAAAGCTTTGCAAGTTAACATACACATTATTATCCACTGAATACAAATCATGAGGACTAAAATAATGAAAGCTACAATTCAATTCTTCACTCACAGAAAATCTATGAGCCACCTGCATATTATGAAATATCTTAGCTTTGTTCACCTTTGTTCTGTTCAACACGAGTTCTAGAAGATACTTTTAGTTTAGCCACAAGGCAATCAAGTTATTCAAAGGGACAGTATACATATGAAACTTAGAATCTAGTGTCAGAGATTTCTTCTTTTTAAATTATTTACTTACATTAAAATTATTATTAAAGAGCAAGTAGGATATGGTTAAGTAGGATGATAAACTATTAAAGTAAGTGTAAAATATAAATTTTGTGTTTGGTCAGTACCAATGTAGTAATAGGACTTTTACTCACTTACTACAATTTATTTCTCCTGATGAAGAGCTTCAATAAAAGCATCAAGTTTTTCTTGAATTTCCCTAACTTTCTCTGTGGAGATAAAAAGAGGTAATAAATTAGTTAAAAACTAATTTATTTTTCAAAGGCATCACAAATCACAGGAGATGAAGGGTCTGGGATACTTTACTTTGGAAAAGGGGGGAAATTACCTCAGCACCACACACCATCTTATACCCAAATCAAGTTCAAATGGATTGTAGCAGTACCTCTTCACAATTTTTTGGAAAGGGGAGGAGGATGGAGGTTTGTGACAGATCCCCTTGAGAATCTAATAAAAGTTATGGATCCTTACACAGAAAAATCAAGTAGAGAGATATATATATATAAAATTATGTATAGAATTTTAAAGAGTTCTCAGATTATCGAGCTAACCAAGGACTCATGGTTAGCAATATCTGGAGCAGAGGAAAATATAAAATAATAAAACCACTTTTTAAAATTAGAAGAGAATACAAAAAAATAATTAAAAATTAAAAACCCCCAAAAGATATAGAAAACAGACTTATGGTTACTGGGTCGGGGGGGGAGGGTATGGAAAAGGATAAATTGGGAGCACGAGATTTGCAGATACTAAATACAATATATAAAATAAATAAATAAGTTTCTTCTGTACAGCACAGGGAACTATATTCAATATCTTGTAGTAACTTATAATGAAAAAGAGTATATGTAAGACTGAAATATTACGCTGTACACTAGAAACTGACACAAGATTGTAAACTGACTATACTTCAATTAAAAAAAAAAGAATACAGGTGAGTACATAACTGGTCTTCAATTGGGAAATGACTTTCTAGGCATAAAGTAATGAGAAAAGTTACCTATGGAAAAAATAAACCATGAAAAGGGCAAAAACACTTTAAAAAATAAAAATGTGCTTTTCTAGCTGTGAATGAAGAAAGGAAAGTTTAAAAACACCAGAGCCAATGAAGACAAATTTACATTATTTTATTTGATTTTGGGTTTTCATATTTATAGATGTTCAATTTCTCTCTGAAATACAAAAATTTTCTTCAAAATGCAAACTAGTCACAAGACTTGTCAATCTCCTAGTGCTAAAAACAGAAAAAGCCACGACTTATTTACTTCATTGCTAACTTAATCATGCAACTCTCATTTTAAAACACAGGTTATATTAAGCACAGTAACTAATATTTTGTCCTGTTAACATAATTTAACATGTTAGTGAAAATTATCAATTAAAGTGAAGTGACTCGTTCAAACCTGGTGATCTAGAGGCAAAACTGCAAAGCACTCTAGAGAAAAACCATATAAGATGCATTAATATTCAACATTTATATCTTTTACAGTCAAAAATAACCTTCAATTGAAGATATAAGTATCCCTTTTTACAAGTGAGCCAGCATTTGTGGTAAGTAGCCAATAAAAAGGGAAACTGTCCTTTTTATAAATTCTCATTAGCATGCAGGAACTTAACAAAGCCTACGATGGTTGCATATAAAGACCATAATGGCATCATCTTCTTTTCCCAGTAATTTAGCACTTCTAATTCTTGGTATTAGTCTGAGACTAACACACACCGAAAAAAGCGGGGGAGGAGGGGACCCCTGTTGTTTTAATCAAACTATTTACTGAGAAAATCTGATAACAGTTATCACAAAGACAGCATTAACTCCTTCTATATAAAAATTTAAGCTAGAGAAACTAGAAAAAATAATTTCAATCTATGTCTTGGAAATTCAGTCTGCACTTTTTGGTAGTCCGTATTTTTTTTTTTTTTTTTTACCAGCAGTCAAACCAGTAAACATACTTCTTTTCTCAAAGGAAAGCCACATTCTCATATTTAAAATTAATCCATCTAGTTGCTTAGAAATAGCTTCACTTATTTTTTTTACTAAATATTTAGAGAGTTCTAGAGATTATAGCTCATCAGTTGAAGAATTTTTAAAGGGGGCAGGATTAAGAGAAAAAGAATTTTTATAATTGTTTCTCATAGAATTTTAGAAATGAATGGGGTTTTTAAAAAATCATCTAGCTTAAACAACACACGACATGAAAATCAAAAACAAGTGTTTAGAGCCTTAGCAGCTCTCTAAACTTTACACTGGGAACTATTTCTACTTGGGAAAACGGTACTGTATGAAGAAAGGAAATTCCATTCTATCTGCTCCACGATCTGAGTAAAATCAGGCAGGACCAGCTCTATCCAGCTTTTTGCCCTGTCAGTGACCTCCATGCTCAGCTGGGCAGACTGTCTGTGAGTGGGTGGGACAGTAGCGTCACTCACACCAGACTGTTCAGAGCAAGATCTACTTGTATTGAAAGAGACCAAGGGCCACTCTGATGCAGGTGTTTGAATCTGAATCAAATTCAAATTCTTCTAAAATTTGAGACAAACAATGGTTTTCATATAGATGAAAGCTTAAAAAATGAATTTTAATATAAAAAACAAAAAACTGCCTTTCCCTTTAAAAAGCTGTTTTTACACAGTATTTTATGATCAGAGTAATTGTGATAAATGTATCCTTTTAACACTAAATTTAAAAACTAATTTCTTCGCTGGTTCCCTCACTTACACCATGGGCTTAATGGAGTAACATGGGGACACACGTGATACCTCATCTTTGAGAATAATTCCTTGCTTACTGTCTACTTATTGTAAGTCTGTAAGTGGCTACTACATTTTGGGTGATTACAGATCCCACATTTTATTTGGTTCTCACACAACCCTGCAGGTATCACTGCCAAAGACGAGGCCATTAAGCCTGGAGAGTCAGCCTTGTCCACATTCCTCCAATTTAGAGACACATATTAGACCTGTTACTGTACAGATTCTACATGTAGCCAAAAAAGTGTTTATTATTTCAAGTGTGCTTGTTATATGTTTCACCTTTTATGTGAAATAAGACATTCTGATAAAAATTAGGGAATGAAATTGTTATCGAACACCTCCTAAGTAGTTACATTTCCAGGAATGTCTAAAAAATGTGTAATATGCTACCATACTCAGAGGAACATTATTACTGTTTGAGGAGACCAGATCTCTCTACATTTGGAGAAAATCTTAGAGAATCATGTAAGAGCATGCAACTGGACCCAAAAGGCTCAGCGTCTTCAGCGTCTACAACACCTGACTCACTATGCATGTTCAATAAATACCTGATAAATGAAGTTCCCCAAAACATGGCACAGACGAGAAGGGCTGTAGGTTATCAAGAAGGAAAACAAACAAACAAACACGTGACAGGCTTTCTGGATGTTACTCCAGGACCCCAAGAGCTAGGGCAGGCTGGGAACAGGAGGCAGGGTACACGCTGACAACAAAGACTAAGGGAAGCCGGCGGGTCACCTGAACCACGTAAGCAACATGGGACAGAGAATACGCAGGTCTCACAACACAGTACGCGGTGAGGGCGGGGGTGAGGGTAGGGGAAACAACTTCGACTTAATTTTTGCACCTTATTTAAGAAGGGTAAAAGATGCTGACTACACAAGCACACAGCTTTGGAGAGTAAACTGATTCCATGCTTTACAAGGAAGTTATATTACAAATATTAAGCAGCATAATTTTCCATATTTGATTTCACTCATTTTAAGTTCTGATGTAAGTTTCCAGCACTGTCTTGTGTATTAACTATGCCATTTGGCTGCACATAAAACTGAATTATGCATAAAAATCAAGTTGGAATGTTAGCAACTAAAACTTTCTACTTTCTGATCCTTCCAAATTAATGTCTCAGTATTATAGTGTTTTCAGATCCTCAAATCTAACTGTATTTAATTTGTTCACCATTAGAAATTACTTTCCCACAGAATGTGTACAGATTAGCATGGCTAATTATAAAGCAAACTCTTTTTTCTATTAAAATTCTGTATTAAATATTTATAGCTAGAGAACTCTCATAAATTTGTGAATTACCTGATAAACTAAACCAGCTCAGGAAGGGATTAACAAACTGCTATTCCTGTTACACCAAAATAGCCAGCTCTACATGTAGTGAATACTGAGTCTACTTTCCATTCACCCAATGTTTACTTAAAAGATGAACAATTTCAAACATCAATTCATTGTGTTTCTTGATTGAGTCATGAATATTCCCATAATCCCCGACTCATAAACCGTCAGTCTGAATGAAGTTCCTTCTCTTTTTTCTTTTCTTCAGATGACTTGACACCCATTCATGTTCTGCGTCTCTTTATCTCCACACGAAATGATACTGCTACTCTCATTTTCTTTTTGAGTCTTCTGATACTTGCTCTAAAAGTCTCAAATATAGACTAATCTGTAATTAGGTTCTGAATACACTGTGAGTACCAAAAGGCCAAAGCCGGGAGAAGGTTCACTTCAGTGGTTAATAACAGTTTAGAACAGGAATAAAGAATCACACACAAAACACTACCACATGCACTGAAATCAACCTTTTAAAACTTTTGATGTTTTTCAAGAAAGCATAAAGAAAACGAGCTGCAAACTTGCTAATGGCAGTGTGCTTTAAACAAACCACAAATCCAAAGACCCAAATGCATCTCAACAGAACTGTTTTATAACATGCTGAGCACACATTTTATACAAGCTTGAGGACACCTTGCAGGTGAGATTTTGCTACACAAAGCTGTTCACTAAAGGACTAAACATTAAAGGAACACTTCTTACATCATACATGTTGTTTCTAACAGGCCTGCTTTTCTTTAGACAATTATACTCTGCTCTTTCAGAAATTCAGTATTTAAAAGAATCGTCTTAGGAAAAGAAGAAAACAAACAAAAAAGGGTGAACAAGAGACTAGGTTCAGAGTCTCAAAACTATAGTCAAGATCTTAGATTGAGCACAAGAAAAAATGTATACCTTTTACAGTTGAAAGGAAGAACCAAAGAGATTAGAGTCAAAGATACATAGCTAAATCTAACACTTAGCTTCTGAACCTTGTCCTGTAGCTTTTTTCCTACAAATAGGTATGATTACTTCTAACCAGACTTATTAATGAAGACCAACAGTATACTTCTGCTTGTTACAGAAGAAGGAGGCATCATCTCCTATGTCCTGAAAAGCTGTTTGAGACTAAGACAGT